AAGTTACGACTTGCAACTTTTAGGTTATTGGTTGGAAAATTTAAGCTGGTTTTATCTGCATTGTTCGTAAAGTAAATGTAAGTACAGGGTTTTAAAAAAAAAACCCAATTAGTTAGCATTTTTAAGATCCAAATGCTCTTGTTTGGAACTGGAAAATGAACAAATAGGGGAAATTTGGGAAGCATAGTGGAAAAAATAGAGAATTGTAGCTAACATTTAAAAGTGGTTATGAAAGCACAGGCAGAGATGGTGAAGACAGGAAACTTTGCTTTGAAGGTTCAGAATTGGGTCTGGAAGATCTGGTTGCTCTGGTTGCTCAATGAATTTTTGTTTCCATCATCTCTGTCAAATAATTTTGATTCAATCATCTATCAACTTATATCTTAAGAGTAGATGATTACTATCCAAGTGTTACAGACTCGTGCATGTTTAAAATTTCTACATATTTACAAATATTTTTCATTGAGCTTATTTCTGCAGTATGCTATATTTTTCATTGAACTTTGTGAGATTTGTTAATCGATAACAATCTCTTTAAACTTTAAAGGCTTTCCTTGATACCGTTAAGCTCCTGCTTCTTAATGCAGGTTGAAATCATGTTAAGACTGAGGCATCCTAATGTCGTCCTTTTCATGGGAGCAGTCACTCGCCCTCCACATTTCTCTATCCTTACAGAGTTTCTACCCAGGTTGATTATGTTGCTTCTTTATTTTTCTTCTTTAACATTATTTCAGCTTAACGATTACGTCGTTCCATGTTCTGAAGATAAATGCTGCAATGTAATTTAATTTCCGTCATGATTTTTATATAAGATTTACTTCAAGCTGCTGTGGGTCAATGTTACGTTGAGGTATCATGCTTATTCTCAATGTCACCAAAAGGATTTAAATGTCGTACTGTTAATGTTAATGCAAATATCATGTCGGGTCGCATTATCAGTATTGGGTTTCATGAAATAGCACGAACTTTCTGAAAAATCTACATAAATATTCTTCCTGTATTCTGTTCTGTTACTGAAAACTGAAAAGGTATCTTCATGAGTTTGAAGAAGCACTTAGTTTTTTCCCTTGAGAAGTGATTATGGATAAGTGCTTTTACAAGCTACTTCGAACACTCGTTTTAGATATCTCTGTGGACGAGTTATGTCCTTGTCGAGAAGCCTTGTTAGCATGAGAAAATTAAACTATATTCATCATCTCCTAATCCTTTGTCTATGTACCGACAAACAATGCAGGGGAAGTTTGTATAGGTTACTGCATCGTCCCAACTCTCAATTCGATGAAAGGAGACGATTGAAAATGGCTCTTGATGTGGTAAGGAAAGTCCTTCCCCCACAAAATATGGTTTGCTCCTTTTCTTTTGATATATCTTTATTTTTCTTTCCAGGCCAAAGGAATGAACTACTTGCACACAAGTCATCCGACCATTGTCCATAGAGATCTAAAATCTCCCAATCTGCTTGTTGATAAAAACTGGGTTGTCAAGGTAACATGAAATGAAACTATTTTGTGCATACAATTTCCTTTCTTGATTTTGTATGTTCTAAGTAAGGGAGATTGATCTTTTCTAATATCTAACCTTTGTGGCTTCAAAGGTTTGTGATTTCGGTTTGTCGCGTGTCAAGCAGAACACATTTCTGTCTTCAAAGTCAACTGCTGGAACGGTAATAACCTTGATAGTTAGCTTGATAACTAGCACATCCGGGACTTCCATAGCAATCGATAATGCTAATTGTTTCTACTTAATTGTAGCCTGAATGGATGGCGCCAGAAGTTCTAAGGAATGAACCAGCCAACGAGAAGTAAGTTTCGACAAGGCATTGAACTGACCCTACGCATCTTTAGCTACAATTTGACTCGATACTGACAGTGTCTTGTATGGCATACAGGTGCGATGTGTACAGTTTTGGTGTGATACTGTGGGAGTTGACGACATGCTGCATACCATGGAAAGGTTTGAACCCAATGCAGGTTGTAGGAGCTGTTGGATTCCAGAATAGGCGACTGGAGGTTCCAGAAAATGTTGATCCTGCAGTTGCACAGATCATTTGCGATTGTTGGCAAACGTAAGTTTCAAACTTTATCAATACCCATATTTCTCGTTTAGTTTCATCTATATCTTGACGTTTCACTCTTTTCACAGGAACTCGCAATTGAGGCCGTCGTTCTCTCAGCTTATTACTCGACTGCGATGCCTTCAACGGCTTGTTCAAGAAACAAACTCCGGGAATCAAATGTCGGAGTGAACAGAAAAGATTCACTTGCATTTAAATCGATGAAGTTGTTCGATGGCTCAAAGAGTCAGGGCAACCGATGTCGGTTCTTTTTTCGGTTCTCGTATTTTTAGTGAAGTTGTTTGAAAACACTACAAACTGGATAGGGAAGTGCTAGTTCATTCAAAGTGGGGGCTTAGCACAAACCTATTTAGGAATGGAAATGGCAAATCCTTCAAAACAACAGGTAGCTGCATTAGTTAAAAGTGCAGTGGAGGGATTTACCATTTTTATATATTGTAGTTCTTCATGTGTAGTAGGATGTATTAAATTCACATGTAAGAAAATTCCCAGATGAATGGGAAAAAAGAGAAAAAAAGGAAAAAAGGAAAAAAGAAAAATAATAACTACCATGCTCAAGCTGTGTGTGTCTAGCTGCGGAGGCCTTTGGGGAAATTGTAAACATTTGGTCTCTGCAGATTACTGTGTAAAAGAAATTTAACCCTCCGAACCCTCACAAAAATGAAAAGCAAAGAGAAAGATTCATATGAAGTTTTTTGTGTTCTTTTATTTTGTTCTTTCTTTTTCTAGCAAAAATGAAGAACATGGCTAACATTGTAGCTGTTTACATGCTGTTTGTGCAATAAACTCTTCTGTTTTTGTCATTTTTGCATCAAAATATTTAGATGTAGAAATTTAAACATGAATTTCAAATGGCAAGATCAGTAGATGTGAACCACTCAATCTATCATGTATTTCCATTCCAAAAATCTAATTTGGATAGAGAGTTTGGGCACCAGAAACATAGCATAAATCGTTGCCCGGTAGTCGGGAACCAAATACCTGTGACCTGAGTCATGTATATACTCCCGGGAAAACCATCGCCGGCGACTTTCTTTCCGTCCGCAACGAACCCCAGACCACTAATTTCACCGTTCAAAAACCCAAGACCATTCCACCTCCGAAATTCCCCTTCCAGAATATCCCTCTCCTTCTCTTTCCGAAAAGGAAACAACATGCCATCGGATACCGGCTGCCCTGTTCCGCCGGAGCAGCTGCCGATTAACGAATATCAGACTCTCTCCACCTCTTTCCCCTTCTCCTGGGCTGTCGGAGATATAGTTGAATACTGTTCTCGATTGGTCGCCACCGGTGCTTCCTTTGCGTTCTTCATCGGACTGCCGGTTGCTTGGTTCGGCACCGTGGGGGTCGAATCGGATCTGTTGAGTCGATCACTTTGCGCTGTTTCAAGTGGAATATTATTCGTTACGATCGCGGTTGTCAGGATGTATCTCGGTTGGGCTTACGTCGGTAACCGTCTACTCAGTGCGACTGTAGAATGTAAACTCTCATTTCTGTGTTTCTTACTTTTAGCCCTAGAATCGCAGTTCTTCGTTCAAAGATAGTACTGGATTCTTTTCTTTCCATGTCAAGTGAAAAAAATTTCATCATCGTTCTGAAATTTTCCTTTATACAGACGAAGAGACCGGATGGTACGACGGCCAGGTACACTCAGACAGTTCTTCTTCCTTTGCTCATAGGATCAAGGTTCCATTTCATCTCTGAAATTAAGAGCTCATGTTTGCAGATTTGGGTAAAAACCGCCGAAGTTTTAGCCCGCGATCGCCTCCTCGGTTCCTACACTGTAAGCAACCGATCTCGATCCTAATTTCGACTTCCTCTCCATAAATCCAAGTTTCAGTTGCAATTTAGAAATCTTCTCAGGTGAAGCCGGTGCTCAGTAGGCTAAAATACACTCTCGTTAGCCTTGCGGCATCTCTGTTTGTGTCCATTATTGTGCTCATCAACATTGATGGAGGCCAATTGCTGGGGCCTTTCTTCACCGGAAAATATGCAGCAGATGACGGCAGCAGCAGGGTCATTCCCGGCGTTTATAGCGACGAATCCGCCAGATCTTTCGAGCCTGATGCGTTCTGTGGGCCTGGCGAAGATGATCTTCCTCGATGACATTCACTTTGCTGGTAACTGTTTGATTAATATTTTTTTTCTTAAATAATAATTTTTTAAAATTATCTATTTTCTCCGTTTCCTACGTTTCTAATTCCATGAGAGAGTACATTGAAACTGGCAGGCTTAATTTGTAAAGGAGAAGCCCAAATCACATAATGAGCCCAGCCCAAATCATAGCATGAGCCCAGCCCAGTTAGCCACCTCATCAGATTCTACAGACAGCTCAGATGCCCCTCAATATTTGTTGCTTAATAGTTAACCAATAAGAAGCTGACACCTGTATTGCGTTCAATTATTTTTACTTTAATTATATTCTCTTTTTTTTTTTCTGGATAAGATATATAATTTATTACTTTTTTGTTGTCGAATTTTCCGTAAATCCTGTTTACAAATTTTGCAATCAACGACTTTATTTTTTTTGACTGTTCACTCTCCCCAATGTAATATTTCGATTTTCCACACACTTTAGGCATAGTCCAATATTGTGGCTGAATCATCGTCATTTACATGTGACCATAATTGTTGACGTTAAAAAAGTTATTTTTTATTTTTTTTATCTAGAATCTTCTTTTATTATTATTTTTTAAAAAATTATGTACGCACCATTCAGCTAAAAATTCGAATTTTTGTTGTGTTAAACATATTAAAAACCTATATACTAAAAAAAAAAAAGAAATAAAAATTATTTTTTAAAAAATGTGGAAGCGAATAATTTTATATGTGTTCAGAGGGCTCCACGTGGAAATATCCGGGTTGGGTTCATGCATCTGCTTCTTCAACCGCCATTCTCTTTCTGGCTGGGCAAAGTGAATAATTATAATTTTTTTTTTTTTTTTTTTTTTTTTTGTCGGGAGTCCGAATAAATGGTACCGGTCGTGGCGGGCTTCAATTCTCAGCGATGAACGATCCGGCCATTTTCACTAACAACCATTTCGTCTTCTTGCTCTGGTTCGTTCCCCTGTTTTTCTCACTCTCAAGCTTTCTTCACTGACCATTACAGGTGAGTTTCGGGCTTCATTTCTTCGCTCTGCACTCCTTCCTTTGAAATTTGTTTTGTTTGCTTCATTTCTTCTTCTTCTCAATGTATTGTGTTCTAATAAACTCAAATCATAAGGACTGGCGGCGGTAGTCGTAGAGGAGTCCTGAGAAATGGAGTTTCTTGTCCTTCTAGTTTCAGTAGCTTTTCATTTTTCTGCGAGTTCTATTTGCTGCGCTGAATTACCTTTTTATATATATAACAAAAAAGACGGAGTTGATTACGTGTTTTTTGGGATTTTTTTAGGCCCTAAAATTATGTAGTCTCCCTCCGATTTTAATTCGTGGATTGTAATCTCTGCTTTAGAATGCTGAGTAGTGCTTAAGAAAAATCTTCGATCCAGGGGCATGAGAAGATGCGGATGGGAGGAATTTAATTGTGAAGAATATCTATCCACATTTATTCGTTGTGGCTTAAGATCAAAGTCGATAATTGATAAATCTTTCGTTGTTGACCGATTTTGAAAATAGGCTTTCGACTGAATAAATATACGACGAACTATCGTTAGATCCTGAAGCATTATGTATGTTTAATAGATGGGGAAGATTTATAGTTGTATCATAGGATTGGGCCACGCGGGTTTTTCCGTCGATCAGTGGGGTGAGCTCATTGTGGAAGGAAATATCAAGAAAGAGTACGAACTGTACCCTGATCGATGCACGAATCCAAAAAATGGAGGATGATAACGTTTGAGTGATCATTAATATTAAAATGAAGTTAGCTTGGGTTAGAAAATAAAAAATAATGTGGATCTTTAACCAGTTGGCGATTGATACAGGATAATTTCATCTTAGATTCTTGACCTGATCAATTTTTTTTTTGTGAAATGTCAAGTATTTATCAGCCACAGAACCTTAAACTGAAAATATTTGTAACATAAAATTTCTTGGTCATCTAGTTGTTTTGTGCAGTTTTTCTTTTCATACGGGTGCAGTTTTTTAAACGAAGAAGAGACATAATGGAAGGTTGATGACGGTTACATGGTTTATTGAATTTCGATTAGAACTTGAAATGGTTTATGTCTGCCATAATCTGAACTGACAATTGATCATTGTAATGATCTTGAATAATGAACTTTGATTTGTTCTTGCCTTTTAATCCTGTTGTTTGTTCATCCTTTTGAGAAAGTTTTGGTGTTGCAACAGATTACTACTCTGAACCCTGCATCCATGATGATGAAGGGATTGCAGATTTGGTTGTTTTCTTTAGCTGCAAGCAAATTCAGTTTCTCTCAGTGTGTGGCTTGATGCATCTGTTCCAATTATTAACAAAGCTATATGGTACCCGGAAGGTATTCTAAAATGAAGCCACAAGCAGTTTATGATATTGAACTCGTCAGTTCTACGCAGAGCATAAAACATGAATTTTGGCCTCTAGATGCAATCGATCCGGACCAAGCGAAGTTCCCATGCTGTTTGGTTTGGACTCCTCTTCCAGTTGTCTCTTGGTTGGCACCTTTCATTGGCCATGTTGGGATTTGCAGGGAGGATGGAGCTACTCTAGATTTCGCAGGATCAAATTTTGTGAATACCAATGATTTTGCATTTGGTTCTGTTGCGAGGTACCATCAACTCGACCGAGAAAAAGTAAGTCAATAGCAATCAGTTCACATAAATATTTCGTGAAATTAGCGCCCTGTTTCCTATGTGAATACGTACTGCTTTTTACTGGAACTATCTACGTTTTCTTTGTTAGCTATCTCTCCCCTGGGTGCAATGCCATCTTGTTTCAAGGATGGCTATCATAGTCTCTCTTACAAGTTCTTTTCTCTGTAAACAGTGTAAAATTTAATGATGGATCATTAACATCGTATTGAAACCTTGTTTTTTTTTGCAGTGTTGCTTCCCGACAAGCTTAGCTGCGCATAAATGTAACCAGGGCTACAAGCATTCACAATATGGAACTGCCATTACCTGGGACGATGGCCTACAATCAAGTACACGGTATTTCGAGCATAAATCGTACAACCTTTTTACATGCAACTCCCACTCTTTTGTTGCCAATTGTCTGAACCGTCTTTGTTATAATGGATCGATGAGTTGGAACATGATAAATGTAGCAGCTCTAATTCTGTTCAAGGGACATTGGGTTAATGGCATGTCAATTGTAAGATCATTCCTTCCCTTTATTCTGGTGGGCTGCCTGGGCATTGCCATGGTTGGATGGCCCTTCTTGATTGGACTGCCATCTCTTTTTCTCCTTTTGGTTGGTTGGTTTGTTATGGGTACTTATTGTATAAAAAGCCTGTTGGAATTCTAGATTTGGTTGAACATTTGTAGTTGAGAATCACCGAGTGATGGTTCTCCATCCATTGAGAGAGAATGTTTGCTCATATTTGTTGAACTTTGAACTTATAGCAACATAGAGTTTTATATAACGTGTAGAAACATACTATTTTGGTTCATTTGAAAGCTTCAGCATTGTATTTGTTTAAATATTAAGATCTGTTTTTTGAATTTAAAATTTTATAATGCTTGGTTTTATTATAATGTTCTCTTTTGATTATAATGTACTATTTTGGTTCATGTGTGTCCATTGTTATTTGATGACTCCTCAGACCGATTGCACATCCCAATCTCAAATAGAAAATTCCAAATTTAAAATCCTTTATCCAAAATGGACCGAATCCATACTAGGTTCGGTCAAATCCTTTATCCGAAATGGACCGAATCCAAACTAGGTTCGGTCAACTCCCTGTTATCAAACATGGCCACAATCGAGCTCTAATCGACCCAGACTGTTTACTTGTTCATCTCTTTCCTGCTTTGTTTGCGATCTCGATCATGCAATGTTCAGGATTCATGAAATCCCTTTTGGTTTTTGCTGTTAAAGACGCCGGGTATGCTTTTATTTTCAGTTCTTCTAATCAGCCTATTTAAGTCTCTTGGAGTATTGTTTATTAACAGATGATTTTTAAATTCCATTTTTCAGGTGGTTACATGAAATCTAGCGCTGAAGTGATTGCTGATTTAATCGAAAATCTCTGGAAGCAAAGATTTGATCAAATACAGAAAGCTTTCCAGGCAGAATGAAGTCACCAAGTGAGCTACTTTGTTTTCCTGTTATATTAAATCAGTAGCATGAGCCATTTGGCACGACTTTTCTGTAATAACTTTGTCTTCTATGAATATGAACAAAGTTGGAGCGGAATTGTGTAAAAAACTTAAGCCATGAAACAGATGCATTATTGTGGCTTATACTTAACGTAACCAAAAGAATTGAGTACAAGAGGAAAGGGAAGGATACAGAACCCACAATCATATGGTAGTTCTATCAAATAAAAGATCTATATCCACTCACACTTTCATTATGATTTCCACGGTAGAGTTGAAAAGAAATTCAGAGACAGCCTCTTCTGAGCTACCCCAATTAACATTCTGAATCCTTAGCATACTTGGACAATCGTCTTCTTCAATCACTCAATGATACAAGAGCGACAATCCTTGGCATACTTTTTCTTAATACTTTCATGTACACTTCAAGTGACTGTTGGAGGTGATTTTTCTTTTTTTATACATATTGCTGTTCTTCAGATTATTTGGATGCGAGTGAAAATATTTTTCTTGACCCTAATAAATATGTTTAGTCGAATATAATCTTACTTATGTTGATGACGTCTAATTTCTTATGATGTGCATTTGAATGATCTCTAGTTAGTATTTAGATGAATGGTAGATTTCATAACATTGAGCCTATGACAACCTATGCGTTGATCTTGTGATACAAAGGTAGGTAGAAAAAAAAAACGTGAAGAAACTTTGAGAAAATGAGTTTGAACTCGAGCTACCTGTCTCTAAGTAGATATATTTTTAAAAAATAAAGCTGTAGATGGAGATTAGATCTTTGAAAAATATGTAATAAAGAATTATCTAGTTAGATGAGTTGATATATTAATGGAGCCGTGAGGCAGATATCCTTTAAAAAGCATGAAAAGAAATTGTTGTAGGAAATCAGTGTGCTAGAGGTTGAGGCTGAGGCTGAATATAATAATGAGGTAAAGGGTAGGATGGGTGAAATCCAAGGCAAGTCCTAGAGGGATGAGTGAGGACAAAACCAGCATTGAGTTTGATTGGAGGCAGAGAAAGGCAGGCATTATAAGCCCGAGATTGATGTCTCTCTCACCCCCAATGGCTTATGTAAGCACAGACACCAACACCAACACCATCACTTTAGTCCTTCCTCCAATGCCTCTTCTCAACCCCCACCACCTCTAACTCTTTTCTTCACTCTTGGGTTTCCTCCAGACTGTCCCTTGACCCCACTTTCCCATTTCTCTATCTAAAATAATAATAATAATAATAATAATAATCCCCAGCGCACAAATCTTAACAACAATTGTAATCAAGCCTAGATGAGAATGAGATGTGTTAGAATAAGAAACCAAGTTTTTTTCTTGTAGAACTGTTTGGTCAAAGTCAAACAAGCTCCAGCTGTGTTTGAGATATACATGGAATAAAGGGAAAAAAAAAAAAAAAAAGCAGGCTAAACTAGAAATTTCTAGATTGCAGACCACGTTTAAAGCTGTCTCTCTTCACTTCTTTTTCTCAAACTCTGCATTGATACAAGAAACCAAGTACTGGATGGAAGATAGCCCTCTACCACCTCAAACATTCAACTTTATTAATACTCAGGAATAACGACTCTTTACGGTAGGAGGATATTGTCCACTTTTAGCATAAACTCTCGTAGTTTTGCTTTAAACTTTCCCAAAATGCCTCATACCTGGAGATGTATTCCTTGCTTATAAATCCATAATCATTCCCTCTCAACAATCTTTGACATATATCAACCCTTTTAAATCTCATATTGTATTTTTATTCCTTCTTGTTTATTTTCTGAGTTTAAAGTGTGAGGAATCCTGCAAAGAGGAGTTAAGATCACGTAGGAGTTTGTTATACATTTCACATGATCCACGAATCTCCAACTTTGCCTTTCCAACGTTTACCACAGCTCCTTTTACATTTTAGCCCTCTCTCTCTCTCTTCTCTCTCTCATGATTTATGAATTAAGCAATTTGAGTCTGAAAAGTCTGAATCCTTACAGCTGTGTTTGAATTGTGTATCACAATAGGTTTTGTAAAGTATAATCTTTATTTGTAAGTTTGTGAGATTAGCAAGTAAATTTTGCTTCCATTTCATTATTCGAGACTGTATAGAAAGTCTTATTTTTGATCCAGATGTCCTTGGGGCATTGAAAATTGGGAACTTTTATGAGGCAGAGCATTTATAATTTGCAGAAAGTTGTGAGCTTTTTGATCCCTCACATGACAGCTAGCTAGATAGATGTGTGCAGCAAATTTGAAGAAGGTATGAACATTTGATGGATAAATAACAAATGGTTAGGTTGGTCAAAACCCAAAGTGAGTTTTGTTGCTGCTGCTACCACTGCTGCTTCTGCTGCTACCACCTCGGTAAGACCCAAATTTAAATGACTCTTAGTCTTGTCTTCTTCTCATTAAAAAAATACAAAATAGCCTCTCTAAGCAGCCTCCTTTTTGCTATTGACATGAACCTTCCTCGTATACTTATTGTATGTCGGGTTCGTTGAATCAGTATCAGATGCCAACACTTATCAAAATTTAATCATTTATAATTCATGGATTAGAACACTATTAGCACAACTATATGCATTAATATATCTATAACTTCCATGATTCTGTTATAGCATTATATCTCTCAAGTTATTGACTTATTCTACTATAGGGTGAGATCCCACGTCGGTTGAGAAAGAGAACGAAGCATTATTTATAAGAGTGTAGAAACTTCCTCCTAGCAGACACATTCTAAAAACCTTGAGGGGAAGCTTGAAAGGTTAGCAGTGGGCTTGAGCGGTTGGGACAATATCTGCCAGTAGTATGTAGGACAATATCTGCTAGCGGTGGGTTTAGGTTGTTATAGTGAGTGTGGTCTCGTGAAAAGAAATTTGTTTTTTTTATTTAATAAACTGGAATATACAATAATGGGAAATCCCAAGGGCATGGTTGTCCAAAAGAAAGTGGGGGTCCCTCGTGCATCTACTGCTACATCTTTCCTGTCCTGGTTTTGCACATAATATATATAGAGATCAGTTCGTCAGCAAAGGCTCAAAGCTTTGTCTAAGATTCCCCCAAGTTGCAGTGTGTTCATTGAAAGATTAGAATTAGAATAGATGTAAAATTCTTGTGGTGTTGTAATGGCCGCCAAGAAAACGTCACCATTGACGGGATTAGAGGCAGAGGAATACCAAGAACTTGAAGGCCTCATTGAAAATTACCACAAATTTGAAGCTTTTCCCAACACTACCACTTCTCTCATCACCCAACGCATCGATGCCCCTCTCGACGCCGTCTGGCCCTTCGTCCGCAGCTTCGACAATCCCCAGAAGTATAAGCATTTCATCAAAAGCTGCAAAATGTCAGGTCAGCGTTTAAAGATGGTCTCATTATTCTTTGTTGACCCAAATCATGCATAATTTACATAAATGGTGATTTTTTAGTATTTCAAAACTAATTTAACGTTCAAAACATGTTTTTTTGGTTGTGTATGTGCTTTGAATAGCAGGTGATGGCGGCGTTGGCAGCATCAGAGAGGTGACTGTTGTCTCCGGCCTCCCGGCATCAACGAGCACAGAAAGGCTAGAGATTTTGGACGACGAGAAGCATATTTTGAGCTTCAAGGTCGTCGGAGGAGAGCACCGGCTAAACAATTACCGATCAGTGACGTCAGTGAACGAGTTCAACAAAGACGGCAAAGTTTACACCATCGTTTTAGAGTCTTATATCGTCGACATACCGGAAGGGAACACCGGCGAGGACACGAAAATGTTTGTGGACACTGTCATCAAGTTGAATCTTCAAAAACTTGCTGGGGTTGTCATGGCCTCTCTGCATGAACACAATTAGGGGTGGCGACGGCGGATCTCCGCCGGCGGAGGATGGGATGGGACGTTTTTTTCATTTATTTTTAAATGTTCGTATGATGATTATTGGTGGGTCGGAATGTTTTTGCAGGTTGAATTTGAATTTTCGCTTGTTCTAATTCATTCGGTTGGTGCGGATAATGGATTGGTTGGGAGAAGAAATTACCTGATTCATATTATATATATATATATATATATATATATTGGAAAAATATTGTCTTGATTGATGTTTTATCAATAAAAGCATTATGGGTTTTTTTAATCTCTTCTTTACTTGGAAACTAAAAAATTATATAATTATATAATTACGAAGATTTAGAATAGCGTATTAAATTAAAGCAAAACCTGGTTGGAACAAATTTATATATCAAGGCAAAAGCAATCTACTAAAGTGCTCTTCACATGCAATTGCGTGATTTGATGATCATCACAAGTTTGATTATTGGATTATTTGCTTCTCAAGGAAAATGATTATTTTGTTCTTATCATAAGCTTGTGTCACTTGAAACCCTCCATAGTTGACCTTTTCATTTAATTATTTGGACTTTGATTCCTACATTTATTTGCATTTTGAAAACACTTTTGAAAGAAAAATCACTTTTAAATCGGTTTTTCTAATATTTTGAAGAAACACTTTTCTAGAGATGGATGGAAGTTTGGAGTTTCGATGAGAGAGACCGAAAGACTAAAGAATCGCGTGGGGATTGCTTGTGAGCAGACCATAGGAAACATGTGACCTTCAAACACAACAAAAATGTAATATTTTCAGCTCATAGCCAGTAGGGAACGGACACAAAAGGCCTTTTGGAGATCAGATCGTATGTATTTTCATCACTTAAACCTACTGGCCTTGCATTGCTGTGGACATCATCTGATTAAATCCATAGTTTACACAGATTCGAATCTCAAGACCATATATATAACCCGATAGACGAACATTAAAGCCGAGAGGCGGTCTGCAGAGCAGGCACAAAATTCCTCCAAGGTATCATAGATAGGTGTTACAGACAGTCTATATATATATATATATATAACTTCATATTAGCATCTGAAAGTGATGGATTCCTAAATCAGACCAAATGGCAAAGATTTCTCTCTGAGTGGACTGTCATGGAGATGCTGCCTAAGGAACTTAATCCTCATGTCCCCTTTGTCATTCATGCAATCTTTCCTTTTTCTTCCATTTTCGATGCCGTTTGCAGTCAAGGTGATGGATGTTCCCTGTGCTGCTGCTGTAGCCACCAAATCAACCATGTCGAAGTCGGAGGGATCCTCATCCATCGCATTTGTAACGCTATTG